TCCTGGATTTGGTCATCACCAACGAAAGACACTTCGTTGATCGGGTTAAAATTAATGCTCTACTGGGACATTGCGACCACTGTGTACTGACCTTTGATTTTATCTGCTATTGGGTCAGAAATCTCGAACCTCAAACGTGGTTTCGAGACTTCTGCTGTGCAGACTTCTCAGGAATGCGCATCCTCCTTGAACAAATCACACTGAGTCCAGCTCCATTGGAAGAATTATATAGGGCCATTGTCCAAAATGTTCATGAGGCTGGCGCAACCTTCATCCCGAAAAAACCGGCACGCACTTGGGCCTTATAAGACTTCTACTGAGCTAGATATATGGCATGCGGCTTATTTATGATCGCCGTGTTATATGAGCCACAAAACATAACACGGATTCACGGATTGTTACACAGGATGTGGATCTTTGCATTAGTTTCGTAGGTTTTATTTTTTCGTTCAGCGGCTGATGTTCATTTGAACATCACAAGCGAAAATAGGGCGTATCACTCATTTTTGGGATCTTAGCTCGGGACTCTAAGCTTAGCAGAGCGAGGACCCGCATAAAAAGCGGCTGGTAGTGATTTGAACTGGCTACTAGTTAAGGGTGGACAGCCATTGGAGTAAGGTGATTCCACACAGTAACCACCCGAAATGAGTCAAAAATTTGCCGGATAAATTCGAACTGAGATTAAAGCTCTTCCTGCCATGTCCTCGAAGTGTGTTAACTGGACCAATGGTGAAAAACCTGTTCGTTAGACCTTGTTTATACACGGCATAAGTAGGTATTATATCTCCTCGGAGGCATTTGAGCCGATTTCTTACGGCGCCTGGAGAAGGATATGTTTGAAGTGAGCCGGTTACCCGGATCCTTTTGGCTTCCAACGTCGTGATGTCTTCTCTTCCGTTCTTACAATACACCACAAGGGTTTTCGGTAAGTCTTCTTCGAATGACATATAGATGCCATTTCCTTTATTGAAAGGGAGGTGCCAATTCAGTAGCTGGTGCTTTGTAGCGTCTTCATCTTTTCGGATGTCGCTGGCATTTGAACTCACGAATGAGAGATTCTGTTGAGTTTTCTGTGAAAATCCAGTTAACGTTCATATGAATGTATTGTTTTAAGTTTATTTTTATTCGCTCTTTTACAGTGTCTTTCGGCTTGCGGTAAACATTCCTCATTTTTATAGGTATTATTGGATCAGGTATGGGTACGGTTACGTGAATATTTTTAAAATTCAGGTTTCAGCATGCAACTGGCCCTAAGTGGGTTAAGCATCCTGAATTTAACGATAAAAGTACTGCATCTTCTAAAATTTGAAAACCAGAAATACGGGCGTGATGAGCTGCACTTTTTCGGCCGGTGACTGAAATGAAGCTTTCGGGATGGCGAACCGTTTGCAGGAAGGGTCGCTAGAAAGAGATCCCGATAAAAATCTAAGACTCAAACCAGAAAGGCTGAGATATTGGCGATGATATTGGGGGGACAAATTGGGCTATGGGCTACATAGGCTTCAGGAGACGCCCAAATCAGGGGCGACGTTTGAACAAAATTTGAGGAGAAAGCTCAATCGACCGTCGGAGGACTGAGAGATGCACTCGTAGCCTCTTGTCTGAGCAGAAATTTGACCAACTTCTGTCATTTCAGGTGCTCTTTCTTTCGCTGAACTTTGTGAAATCTCTGTACCCTAGCAAAACTCGATTGGCAATCAAGCATGTTTTCTAGTATATAGTATTGCAGTGGCTCTCTGAGCCAGTGGGAAATGGTTTCAAGCTCCGGAGATCTCTCTTAAAATCTACTAGCGAGAGTATGATTTTGGCGAAGTGGCTGGGACGAAGTGGCTCAAGTGGTTATGGCACAAATCTACTGACCGGAAGGTTCGGACCCGGCCTCCGCCTCTTGACTTCATATGTCTAAGCTCGGGCAACCTGATAGTATCCCAGCCCTCTTGCTTCCTTCTACTGGCATGGCAGCCTGGCACCGAAGGCGTGCTACAGCCGAACGATTCTTCAACCGTCCATAATCGCACTCACAGAGACTTGGTTCACACAAGATGTCTCTGACGCGTAGATCTCGATAGACGGTTACTCCATTTTTCGAGCCGACTCAAAACGAGGGCGGGCAGGTGGCCCGCCAGTCCCGGTTGTCCTCTCTGACGCCACCCGTGCACCCTTTTGCGATGCACTGTGGGTCCAAATCCCACTGCGCGGGTCCGATTCTCTCCTTCTCGGTGTGGTCTACCGTAGCCCCTCGAGTCCACCTGAAGATGACTAATTCCTCATACAAACATTTGAGCAACTCTACTCCAAATGCCACTTCACTCATCCCCTGCTGGTAGGTGACTTCAACGCCCCAAAGGCCTCCCTGATGGAACTCCAGCGTGCCGAATCAAGCGGGCTTTTCGTAGGGGCGCTGATTGAAGCCGTTCAACAGAGCGCTTGAACCCAACATGTCGTTGCACCCACCAGATACCGCGCAGGCCAACTACCATCCCTCCTGGATTTGGTCATCACCAACGAAAGACACTTCGTTGATCGGGTTAAAATTAATGCTCTACTGGGACATTGCGACCACTGTGTACTGACCTTTGATTTTATCTGCTATTGGGTCAGAAATCTCGAACCTCAAACGTGGTTTCGAGACTTCTGCTGTGCAGACTTCTCAGGAATGCGCATCCTCCTTGAACAAATCACACTGAGTCCAGCTCCATTGGAAGAATTATATAGGGCCATTGTCCAAAATGTTCATGAGGCTGGCGCAACCTTCATCCCGAAAAAACCGGCACGCACTTGGGTGAACCGCAGGCTGCCAAAAAGGTTTCGGCGACTTCTGGAAAAAAGATCCCAACTCTTTTTCAAATAGCTGACTACGGGGGATGAGTTGATATTCCGTAAAATGCGCGCTGGCTGTAAAAATCCGCAAATGGAACATACGAAGACAAGCCACCATTCTGGATCTTGCTCGAAAAACAAAAGTGCCTTGTTCAGATACATGAGACATCACCGCATAAACAAGCCATCCTCGTTCTCCTTGAGGGACAGAAGCGGAGAACCGACGAATGACCCAACAGTGGTATCTGAGGTTTGCAGAGAATATTGTGCGCGTCTTCGTCACATCCACTCTTGTCAAGGCGTAACTACGCACAGCCTCTGACCGGCTATTCGTCAACTCTTGCACAAGATCAACCCATTCTGCGCGTTGGGGCCCGACGAGGTCCGTCCAAGGATCCTGAAAGAAACGTCCTCCACACTGACAAATCATTTACGCCTGGTCTTTCGTCAGTCGCTTGACGAAGGCCACCTTCCCCCTGCTTGGAAGGAAGCCATTGTCACGCCAATCTACAAAACTGGGGACCGAATGTCTCATAGCAGATACAGGCCTATAAGCCTCATTAGCGCGCCGCTCAAAGTGATGTAACGCATTCTGAACCGAGCTATCCTAGACCCCCTTACTTCCAGCAACCTGATATCTCCAGCTCAACACGGATTTCTCCCACACCCCTCTATCGTGACAAACATGCCCGTATTTATGGACAGCTTAACCCAAGTCAAGGACGAAGGACTCATATCGGATGCCACATTTTTTGACTTCTCAAAAGCATTTGATAGGGTCCCACACGTCCCGCTGCTCCACAAACTCGAGTCTTACGGGATTCAAGGGAAAATCCTTCGCTGGATCAAGGCGTTCCTATCAGACAGGTCATTCCGAGTGAGAATAGGCTCAACCTATTCCTCTCCAGCGCCGGTCTCCATTGGAGTTCCTCAAGGCTCCGTCTTGGGACCACTCCTGTTTCTGATCTACGTCAACGACCTCCCAGACGTTCTTGCGAGTCCATGTTTACTTTTTGCGGACGACTTGAAATCCTGGAGTTCCAATGCCAGCGCCCTCCAAATGGATGTAGACGCTGCCAAGCAGTGGTCGTTGGACTGGCACCTTTCTCTGAATGACGAAAAGTGCCTCCATATGTCGTCTGGAGGAGACTCAGCGAATGCCTTTGTTATTCATGGTGAGAAAGGACCAGAAAACATCATGAGGATAGATGCCAAAAAGGATTTTGGCATCTGGGTCTCCTCAAACTTGTCCTCCTCACTACACCATGAGAAGTCGGCCCGAAGGGCATTCTCCATTTCACGGATGATCCGACGCACCTCCTCCCGTATCACTCGCATGGACTCCTAAATGCTCTGTGGGGCCTACGTCAGACCGCTCCTGGAATACGCCAACCAAGTTGTCTACTCAGGACGCACGAAAGACGTCACCCTCATTGAGCGTGTCCAGCGAGCCGCTACGAGAATGGTTGCTGGCCTCAAATCCGTGGACTACGAAACGCGTCTCGCGATGCCCGATCTCTTTCCCCTGGAGTACAGTTGCCTCCGAGGGGACTTAATTCTTACCTATGCCCTGTTTGAACAAAGCTTGGCAAACAGGTTTTTTACCGTTGACCCAGGAAACACACGGCGGGGACATAGTAAGAAGATTTCAAAGCTCAGAGCACACACACTCATTAGACAGAAATTTTTCTCATTTCGGGTGGTAGCTACGTGGAAAGACCTTCCTCCGACGGTTGTTCACGCTCCTTCTAGAACCCAGTTTGAATCAATTTTAGACACTTATCTATGCGAATCTTCGCGCCGGCAAGCATACTACCCCACGCTGAGAAATTTTGCCTTTCAGGTGAAAGACAGCCACTGACCGACAAGAACAAAAGCGACCGAGGAAACTTGGGTAATAACCTCGATCCTGTGTATCAATCCGTGAATCCGTGAATCCATGGCGCTAACATTTAACTTGCGACCACGCAGAAGCGCACAACTTATTCCAAACACTCTACCCTATTTTTGTAGTGCCAAAAGATAATCGGAGCTCATGGTTGCAGTAAGGTGGATTATATCTGGCTTTGCCGCGACGTCTCGAACCTTGAGCTGAAGAAATTTGAGCCAAACTTACCAAATGTGGGAAAACTGAGGGCGAACTTACAAATAGCCCGCAAATTACGAGTTTGTACGTTGCAATGTTCTCCCCTAGCGTATGTTTCTCCCGTCCTTGAGATTTTTCTCCCATTAGAGATGGAATTTTGATATCTTTAAGGAGCCTCGTGGTTTTATAAAGTTAATTCAGATCGTGAGTGCGCTTCGATGTCAGCATTGATTTCAGCTTTTTGCAATATGTGCATTTGCGATCACGTGTGATTTTTCGACTAATGAAAGGCTATCCTTAAATTGTGGCAATGGATCAATCATTGCAGAATGCAGTTTTTCTTACCCGTTCCGGTATGTTGGAATTTTACCTAATACTCCACAGAATATACGAGAACAAGATTGATGTATGCGACAGCAAGGGAACGATTAATTTATATGGCGACTTCTCTGCTTCTGCCCAGTTCTTCGTTTTCACTGGCGTGATCGTTTTTCTCTACTGCATTGCGATTTCTATCCTTTACGTCTTCTGGGGTGATGTTTACGAAAACGATGGGCGTGTAGTCAAAGTGGTCTGTCCTAATACCTTCAGCTCATGAGTTTCAGGATTTCGTTGTTTCCGTCGCTATCGCGGTTTTCTGGTTCATCGCTTCAGCCGCTTGGGCTGACGGGGTTCAGCAACTCAAGCGCTATACCGAACCCAGAGCGATAGCAACGCAAGCTGAGGCTGATCGTGAAAAGCTGGACGTGCTACTGGGTCCTACCTACGGTGGTTTGAATGCCTCTTTGGTATGTACCTCGTGTCTTTTTATGTATCTCTAGCCAAAACTGGAGGTTGCTTGATTCCAGTTTGCTTTTTCCACCTTGTTTGTTCATAGGGCTCTGCTTCAGGTAAACGAATATAAGTGTCGGAGGACTTTTTTGTGAAACCTCGAGACTGATTGTTTCTGGTCACAACTCACAATCGCTATCGACTGGAGTGTTCGAAATGTGGCTTGCGAATCAATGGAACTGGTATAACGAATTGGTTCGTGTGGGAAAGGACATCGACTTCGGTTTTTCGTGATTGGGAGTTATTTAGAGCCGAACTAGATGGTTTAAGCCACACTTCACTTGGGCATCACTACCGACCGCCCTTCTGTTTTGGAATTCGTATGGAGGCGGGACTCTCCCCTCTGTTAACTGTAGCTGGTAGTGAAATGTCACTCTGTCTCCGACGCCCCCTCGTACACAATCTTGCAGCCAGGTGAATCGTCTGTCTCTTAGCTGGCATGATCACGTGCTTGGCTCTTCCTGTTCTGCATATGGTTTCACATGTTTTACGTTCGCCACCCAACTTTTACTCTGCAGATTCGTGCTTGAACATTGTTTGCTCTTGGTAACTTGTCAGTCCGACTCGTAGCATTGGTGTCCGCTCGAATATCTCAAACGGCGAACAGCCTAGTGCAGCGTGTTGGTCTATTCAGTAAGCTTCTTCGGGCTACGACTGCCTATCAGTGACCTGTGTAGTCTATCAGCGTTAGTTTGAATCTATCCACTCCTTCGCTCCACTATGGATAGTTTGTCGAGAGGTAGCTCAGTGGTTAGAGCGCCAGCTTACGGATCGTTACTTCCGTGGTTGGGACTCAACTTCAGCATCTCAACTGCTTCTGTCGAGGGCTGGATAACTTTGCAGTCTCCCAGCTCCGTGCCTCTTTCCTTTGCCATGGCAGCTGTGCACCGAATGGGTGCCAAGTTCCAGCTGTTTTATGTCGCATTTCCGATATCACTAGTCTACTACCCTACTGCACAAGTTTATTTGATGTGCATCTAGTGAGGTGACCCATAACAATATTGGGACATTCGGTGCATATTATCAGGTGGCATCGATGTCGAACGAAACGTGACAAATGGATTTAAGTGGGGTGGTTGAGAAGCTAGGAGTTGGGTAGGCTTTCCTGCTTGCGGATTGTGCGCCAGTAGAGTCGAGTTGTTCGTTATTTTACAATGGGAATCCGGTTGCAAAAGAGCATTCAACAAAAACCATGTAAATGTGACAGGCACAAACGACATGTGGGCAAAGTGTTTTAGCCAGATAACACGAGAAACTTGTGGCAGGTAACGAAAAAGTGCGATGACGCAGACGACGAATGCTCAGACGAAGGTGATCTTGTAACTATCAGACGAGATTGCGAGAGGATACTAAGTCATTGGTCGGTATATACTGACGCCTCAGATATCTGAGGTGTGGCAATATTGCACTGGCATCTAGCGTCGGTCTAAGCCACCGCAGAAAAGGCCCTTCCACAGGGCTGTCGAGTGATCGAAGTGGTTTTACGGTCATCTGTGCGAAAGGAAAAACAGACCAGTGGGTCATTCTGAGGAGTGCGATGTGCGACTGCTGCATAAAACAACAACCTCAGATATGTGTCCAGGATTTCAAGGAAGCGGCAGAAAGATTTGAGGAAAGATAGCTTTTGATTTGAGTTGAGTATAGGGGGAAATAGATTTCTCCAGTATCGTTCAGCCCGGATGGGTTGTATTTAACAGCGCTGGCTCCACGTCATCAGAGCGATCCATACTGTTTGTCTCTTTCCTCATGCTATGCATTCATCATTATCTGTCTTTGCAAATGAAAATATATGGCGCTTCCGGTTGTCGGTGAGAGGACGGCGGGATCTGTGTGCAGATGAAGCGAAGAACAATGTCTTTTCATTTTAGTGGGAGACGGAGGTGTCACAGGCCGTTCGCAGACGTTCTTGTTGATCCTGGGCCGTGCTAAACTCACAGTTACCAGTTCAACTGATGCACCCGTGTTACAGTTGGACAGACCAAGTATAATAGATGTGTTTCCTACAATGTTTAAGGAGAAGCAGGGCTGTGCAGCCTTTCGGCCTCTCACTTATCCGCAGCTGAAAATGGCACTGGTCAGTTTTAGGTGCCAGTAAACAGGTGGGATTATGCACTCGTGGCACTACGTCAACAGTGCCATTAGAGTTACACGCCTCATGTTAGTAGACAGAATCCAGCCTAATCTTATTGAATCTTATTGAATGGAATCCCTAGGTGCACACTCTAAACACTGGTAAAGAACGTAATCCGGGTGTTCCTTGAGGATGGATAATCTAATGTAACAAAAGTTCCTTGCCGCCAGGTAAGAGCATTGTAGACCAACTCCGTTGTCATCAGGTGTTCGAAGAAAAAAGTTAGTGATGCCACTGTTCCTTTGCATTTTTTTGGGGTTGGGGGTGGGTTGGGGAAATATGTGCGGAATCTGTTGTCAGTTAAAGAAGTTCCCCAGGGATATGGTCTGCAACAGGGACTCAAAAACTTGGCCAGCAGCGCCTGTGAAGCTGGACCAAATTGACTGAACTATCATGTCGGCGTAACTGTCTCAAACGTCTGTTCGGGATAACCCATGACTGATTCTTCCAAGTGAAGGATAGATACTCAAGGCGAATGAGGGCTAGATGCGCCGAACAGGGATGGCAATCGATAGGCCAAAATGTACTTTTTGTGATCGCTGTCACCCTTCTACCAGGTCACATTGAGCTTGTTAAACCAAACACGGAAAACAACACACTTTTCGGCAGACGTTTATCCGACATATACATACATGATCAGACCGTCTCAGTTTCCGCTATTAGACTGAACCAATTTTTGGACCGGAATCTCTGTTATGCGGCCCAACATTTGATTTTTAGTTGTCTCGTTCTGCCCACACAGGTCATAGTTCCGAAGCGACGGTTATCAAAAACCTGAAGGCTTTTTGTTTCCGCTGCACGAATTGGCCGAATCATGTAATAAAGCACTCCTTGCCGTAGCCCGCTATACACGTCTCCAGAGGCTCAGAGCCGTTCCGCTTTATCAGCATAGGTGTCTCACAATGGCGAATGTGATCTGAGCCTCGGAGATTAGCATTGACCTCGTATCTCACTACGGTAGAAACGTAGGCTAATTTCAGACACTCCATAACCTCGAGTGCCTTCTTAGATAGCAAGCGGCATGTTTACTGTCTGCATGTTCAGAACAACAACCTTACACATATTTTGTGAGAAGCTCATGACAAAAGACTACGAATTCGCTAAACTCACCCCAAATCGTCTATGACTTTTCATGTTCGAAGACGAGGACAGTGTCTGTATGTTGCAAGTCAATGTAGTTCAGCATCCTTTTTAGTGTGAGGATTTGGAATACATTCTAGAATTTGCTTCATCTCGTCGCTTATGAGGTTGACTAAAAACGAAACGAATGGTCGTCGTTTTCGGACCCCGTCTTGTTTACTCGCTTTGCTCGTTGCCGAAATTGAGGCAGTCTGTTCGATGATACCACATGGCTGTCTATTTAGCATGAAATTAATTCCGGTTGTACGAATCATTTTCGTACGTGGGGTGGGATACTGACAACAAGCCCAAACCCAGACAGGAAGACGATCTCAACTTCCTGACCTTGGGCGGCTGTTTTGGATAGGAAATACCAGATAATTTTGATCAAAACGAGCTACCACACGTGTCCTTAATTCCTTGAGAACCTTGAGACTATTAACGAGGACATTAGCCGCCAACCTGCTGTGAGGTCTGCGTATTTCGTACAGACATCATCATCTGTAAAAACCGCATACTTGTACAGCGATTCTGGCTGCCACAGTTTCGTCCTCCGACAATCTGGGGAGGTAGGGCTAAATAGCTGCTCATTGGAGGCGGTTGCTGGTATAATCGGTGCGTCAATACAGTGTTGGTGGGCTTTTCCCTGGGCAGATTGGGAAAGAAAGCCAAGCATGGAGGGCAACAGCTTGGATGCATGCACGTCATTGAGAACGCGACTGTCCCGTATATGACAATGTCCCCAATCATTGATGTGTCCCGTTTTCGGATCTCCGCCCAGGGAGACGGCAATGACCAGAGCTACTGAGTTTGCTCGTAATGGCTTTCATACTTCGTTGCCAAGTCATTGTTTAACCTCCTCTCATCGTAATCAAAGACAGCAACATCAGTGCCGACACTGACGCTTCACTGCCGTACAACCATAAGGTTCCTCGATATATATATATATATATAT